GATAACTATCTTAAATATATACGCACCAAATTCCAGAGCACCCAGTTATATAAAACAATTATTAACAGAAATGAAAACTCAAATTATCAGTAACACAATTGTAACAGGAGACCTTAATACACCACTGACACCAAGGGACAGATCAACCAGACAGAAAATGAGCAAAGAAATAACAGAACTGAATCACACCTGTGAACAAATGGGTTTGATAGACATTTACAGAATGTTCCACCCAACAACATCAGAATACACATTCTTCTCAGCAGTACATGGATCATTTTCTAAAATAGACCATATATTAGCTCACAGAACATATTTAAGCAAATGCAAAAGAGTTGAAATCATCCCTTGCATATTATCGGATCATAGCGCTCTGAAATTAGAAATTAATGACAAAGGATACTGCAAAAATTCCGCAAACACATGGAAACTAAATAACACACTCTTGAGTAATCAGTGGGTCACAGAAGAAATTAAAGAAGAAATTAAACAATACCTAAAAGAAAATGAAAATGCAGATACAACTTACCGGAATCTGTGGGATGCAATGAAAGCCGTTCTGAGGAAAATTTATTGCACTGAGTTCCCACATCAGGAAAACAGAACGAATACAAATAAATAACTTGATGCTACACCTCAAACACCTAGAAAAAGAAGAGCAAGTCAAGCCCAAAGCCAAAAGAAGAGAGGAAATTATAAAAATCAGAGCAGAAATCAATGCAATAGAGACTAAGAAAACAATCCAAAGAATCAACGAATCAAAGAGTTGGTTCTTTGAAAGAATAAATAAAATCGATAAGCCCCTAGCCAACCTTATTAAAAAAAGGAAAGAAAAAGCTCAAATTCATGCAATAAGAAATGAAAAAGGAAAAATCACTACAGACCCAATAGAAATACAGAGGATCATCAACACCTATTTCGAAAACCTCTACTCTCAAAAGTTTGATAACACAGAAGAAATAGACAGATTCTTAGAAGCATATGAAGTACCAAAGCTAGATCAAGAGGATATAAAACTGTTGAATAACCCAATCTCTGCTAATGAAATTGAGAATGTAATTGGGTCCTTGCCCACCAAGAAGAGCCCAGGCCCAGATGGATTCACTGCAGAATTCTACAAGAAATATAAAGAAGACCTAATGCCGACACTCCTCAAACTATTCAATGAAATTGAAAGGGAAGCAATCCTTCCTAAGTCATTCCTGGAAGCAAATATTACTCTAGTACCAAAACCTGAGAAAGACCCAACTATAAAAGAGAACTATAGACCGATCTCCCTAATGAACACAGATGCAAAAATCCTCAATAAAATATTGGCAAATAGGATCCAGCAAATCATCAAGAAGATTATACACCATGACCAAGTGGGATTCATCCCAGGAATGCAAGGATGGTTCAACATACGCAAATCAATAAATGTAATCCACCATATCAATAAAGCCAAAAATAAGAATCACATGATCATCTCTATAGATGCAGAAAAAGCCTTCGATAAGGTCCAACACTTATTCATGATAAGAACTTTACAGAAAATTGGAATAAATGGTCTTTACCTCAATATAATAAAGGCCATTTATGACAAACCAACAGCCAGCATCATACTAAATGGCCAAAAATTGAAAGCCTTTACTTTAAAATCGGGTACAAGACAAGGATGTCCTTTATCACCACTCCTATTTAATATAGTACTGGAAGTACTAGCCAGAGCAATTAGGCAAGAAAGAGAAATAAAAGGGGTAAAGATAGGAAAAGAAGAAGTTAAATTATCATTGTTTGCAGATGACATGATACTCTACATAGAAGACCCCCTAAACTCCATTGAAATACTCTTAGATACAATAAATAAATTCAGTAATGTGGCTGGATACAAAATCAATACTCAGAAATCAATAGCATTCCTATACACGAACAACAAAATTACAGAGAGGGAAATAAGAGAAACTGGACTATTCACATTAGCAAGCAAAAAAATGAAATATTTAGGAATTACTCTTACGAAAGAAGTGAAAGACTTATACAGTGAAAATTATAATACACTGAAAAAGGAAATTGAAGATGATCTCAGAAAATGGAAAGACATCCCTTGCTCATGGATAGGAAGAACAAACATTGTGAAAATGGCCATTCTCCCAAAACTGTTATACAGATTCAATGCAATCCCAATTGAAATACCATCAACATACCTTATAGATCTAGAGAAATCACTCCTAAATTTCATCTGGAACCAGAAGAGACCTAGAATCGCAAAGGCAATTCTAAGCAGCAAAGACAAAGCAGGAGGCATCACAATCCCTGACTTGAAGTTATACTACAAAGCAACAGTAGTAAAATCAACATGGTATTGGAATCAAAACAGAGCTGAAGATCAGTGGAATAGATTAGAAGATACAACCACAACTACGAACACACTCAACCACCTTATTTTTGATAAAGGAGCCAAGCAGGTTCACTGGAAGAACGACAGTCTCTTTAATAAATGGTGCTGGAAAAACTGGCTCTCCATTTGCCGAAAACTAAAGCTAGACCCATGTCTATCACCATGTACTAAATTAAAATCTAAATGGGTCAAAGATCTGAATATTAAAACAGAAACACTAAATCTATTGGAAGACAAAATAGGTAGAAACCTTGGAGACATAGGAGTAGGTAAAGAATTCATGAACAGGACTCAAACCGCACGGGAAATACTTCCCAGAATCAATAACTGGGACCACTTCTTATTAAAAAGTTTCTGCATGTCAAAAGAAATCTCCAGCATAGTGAAAAGAAAACCCACAAACTGGGAAAAGATTTTAGTGAACTCTCTCTCAGACAAGGGCCTCTTGTCTAAAACATATAAAGAATTAAAGAAACTCAGACCTCCGAAATTCAAAGATCCAATCCAAAAATGGGCATCTGAGATGAATATACAATTCTCAGATGAAGAAATGCAAATGGCAAATAAATACATGAAAAAATGCTCATCATCATTGGTCATTAGAGAAATGCAAATTAAAACCACACTGAGATACCATCTCACTCCTGAAAGAATGGCCAGGATCAAGAAAACCGACAACAAATGCTGGAGAGGCTGTGGGGAAAAAGGAACTCTCCTGCACTGCTGGTGGGAGTGTAGACTGGTACAGCCTTTGTGGAGATCTGTCTGGAGATTTCTCAAAAAGTTGGGACTAGAAATCCCATTTATTCCAGCTATTCCACTTCTAGGCATATTCCCAGAAGAACTGAAAGCATCATACCACAGTGATATATGTGCACCTATGTTTATAGCAGCACAATTTGTAATCGCCAGATCTTGGAAACAACCCAAGTGTCCATCAACTGAGGAATGGATAAAAAAGTTGTGGTATTTCTAGACAATGGAGTATTATTCAGCTATAAAGAAGGATCACATTGAGATATTTATCAATAAATGGGCGCAGCTTGAGACCATACTCATTAGTGAAATAAATCAATCTCGCATGTGTGAATACCGAATAGTTTCCCTAATGTAAATAATGATTCAAATATATAAAAATATGTGGTAATCATGATTCCCCATTAGGTGGCCTTGAAGCCTTATAAAGTTTTCACTCATTAATTAGAAAGGCTTTATTCTGGGCTTCTTGATATGAAAATATTTGAAGCTAGAGTATATGAAGTTTTATCCAAATATTTCAAGGAAAAAGACACTATGGTAACTACTATTAAGTCAGGTTATAAGGTGGTGAAGTACTAGGTTGTTGAAACAGTCATGCTGTGACCTCTATTGTTATATTGTTATGTCCTGTTTTATCTCAATCTCCCCCTTATTGTTTCAAAAAAAAATTACTTAGTCATTTCTTATGTTTGTCTTAATTAAAGAAAAATTCAAAAAAATTAGGATATATAAATAGTAACTCTTTTCGATTTCCTATTAACTTGTTTTGAAGTCCTGTAGTACTCCCACGATCTTGTTTTGACTGATTAGACTCTGTTCCATTCTATATGATAGTATCAAGTTTGAAGACATAGGCAACTACTTTGAAGACAATAAGATTCACTAAGATACCCATTCTGGTTTGAATATTGTCTTCTTTGGAAGTCCTGTAATGTTTACAATGCCTAAGTTTTATTGGTCTTGTTCTCTACTGTTTTGTCCAACTTTATAATATCTAATAAGATAGACAATTCTTTTTAAGGAAACAAGGGACAACGTTGATAACCATTGTTGATAAACTTGTACTCTGTTCTACACCATGTGCTGTCTATCCTTGGTATTGACTGACAGCTTTGTTTTGCCATATTTGACTGTATTCTTCCCCCACCCCAAAGAAAGTAATAAGCACTAAGGAGTAATAAAATCCAAGATGTGTAAATTTTGTTGTAAAAAAGAGAGGGGAAAAAAAAAAAGAAAAAGAGCTCTAACGGATATAACAGCAAGTGTGTTTGGGGGTGTTAAATAGCTGACTTTATCAATGTTTTTGGAACATTGAACACAGCTGTTTGCAGTCTCCCTGTTTGAATGTCCACCTTGTGTTCTTTGATACCGTGATTTGAGGAACTATTTTCAAGAAGATAGTGTGTAATCTACTAGCAGGTAATTTCTTACTGTTATGTTTTTTTTGTTTTGTTTTGTTTTGTTTTGTAGTTCTGTATTGCGTGTACCCTTACGCCACTTTGGTTTGTTTTGTGTTTTTCTCTTTTTCCTCTTAAATAAAAAAAAAAAAAAAAAGAAAGGTTATTGTTTTGTTTTGTACGAGAGATGGAACTCATGGCCTCACACTTCCAGGAGGCGCCTGTGCCACTGAGCTTATCCTGGCCCACCAGTCTTCCTTATTTAATCAGACCATTCAGCTAGTCCCAGAAAGCTGAGTATGAATATGCCTGAAATAAAATGAGAGCCTTCCCAAGCAATGAACATGACATGTACTTCTAAAATTCAAACATTCTTGAAAGCAACAGTTTAACAAAGGATATAAATGATGTGCTGCTTAAAGTAAAAAAATACAGCATACTTGATTACAAATTACATCCAGTCTATACAAAGTTGAACACATGCCGTATTTTAATCATCACAAAAGGTCAGCTATTTTTCTGGAGTGTGTTTCAAACAGAGTTGACATATAACCCACACATAACAGTATTGCTATGATTTTTAGCTATTTTATTTAAGGGTCCAAAATAGATTATGTTCACAAAATAACACTATTTGTGAATATTCACCAGGTTTTTTATTTATATTCCTTTAAAAAGACTCCATACTGGTCATTCATGCTAATCTACATCACTGAAAATAACCAAAGGTGATACAGAATTTCACCTCTGTTAAGAAGTTCTAACTGACTCAAAAGGCAAAGGTCTGCCCTGCTCTAGAAACCTGCAGGTCAAGTTCTCAACCATTAAAACTACCATGTGTTTTGACTTTATAGCCATGTTTAAGCATGAAATGTGACCACAGAGATTGCCAAAACCTAACACCCATAGAAAGAGAAAATGTAAAAGTACTTAAAGAGGTGTTGAAATTTCAACAGCAGACTTTTAAAAAAAATGAACACTTACATATAACTCCTATATCTTTAATTAAGAGGTCATTGTCACACAAGATTTGAAGCAGTAATTTATATTAATTAACATGTGATTAACCAAAGAGTGCACTTACTACCACAAACTTGGGTCCTAGGTCATAGGATTATTTTTGCCCTTTCCCCAAAGAATCACTTGCTCTTGAAGTAATAGGCTTTTTAAGGCACATTTTTAACAAAACCCATCATATACCCAGCTTAAAAGTGGAAGTTCTACTTGGTTATAATAATATATATACACTAAAGTGTGATTTACCAAATAGGCAAGGGTCTCTTTCTTGAGGATAAAGTTATATTAGAAACTTGACTCTTTTATTTGCTTATCCAAAGAAAAACATTCCATAAAAATTTTTCAAGAATTATATCCATACAAATAACCCACACAAGCCAGGTCTGTTAGCAACAGTTCAACAGGATTAGCCCCGAAGTTACGGAAAAGACTTCCCTGGAACTTTAGGCTCCTAACCATCTAAGTTACTGAGTAGAAAATGTGAAGAGGGGAATTAGGGTACCCTAATGATTTTTAGAAATCTTTCAACATGCAGACTCTTGGGAAGCTCAAACCTTAAACCTCAACAAACTACCATCTTCAATTTTAGTTACCACCTTTAAAGCAGTAGGATTTGGGACTAGGGAGAAAGAAAGGATGAAAAAAAGCCACTGAGATAAGTGGGAGAGTTTTAAGGACAAGTTGTTTTAGAGACTTTGTACGTTTTGTTAGGACTGACTTTCTTGTCTCTAGGAGGCTCTGCTTTTTAAATATTTTTTTCTAATGCCCCTCAAGTATGCCATAGAGTACTAATCCTTGAGATGGATACAGAATTACCTACTTGGAATGGTTTGGCATAGGAGTAGTCAGGACCCCATTTTCTGCTACTCTAAGGTAAACATAAGTGAAGAAATGTCTTGGAAACAATTGCAAAGCTGTAGTTCCTCATCTAGCTATCTTTTGTCACTATTGATAGGGTTTTCAGTATGGCTCTTCAGCCTTGCAGAGCATGCTGAGTGCAAGCTGAGCTCGTCGTACTATGAGAACAGATACTGGATGGGAGGCACATTATCACAGATGAAAAGGTGATACAGGTGATATAAAGACAGCCAACAGTTCCATGGTGGAGATTTGCTCTATTCACTCTGTGGCTATGGAGCAATTTTAAAAAACAAAACAAAACTGGTCCTAAACAAGATTTTAAAGGTTGCACAACAGGCCTCTGCACAGGGGCCAAACATACAGAGTGACATCTATGTATGTGAGGCTGCAGTTGCCAATCCCCTGCATTTGCTAAACCTGTAACCGCTGATGTTACTTTAGCCCCAAGTGGCAGGTACAGAAGAGTCTCTAGAAATCAGACCTCAGCAACATTCTTATTTCTCCCCAGTGATCGGCACCATTTTGGAAATCTGGTCCCCAAAGTTCTAAAGAATAATAATGCAGTTAAAAAAATCACTTATCTATACAAAGTGATTTATAGAGGTTTATACTGAGGTAAAGGGCTTCATAGAAACTGTTGATTTAGGAAGTACAGCCATAGTAATAGAAATTTTTAGATATGTTTGATGCTAAAATTATTCTACGAAACTGTTTACACTCGTTATAAATAGGGGACAGTTCTTATTGCTCCTGGAGCTTGCAGCTCCAATCTGTTTCAGCCCCACTGAAAAATGATTTCTTTCAACAATTATAGCAAAGAGTCCCAAATTTATAAAAAGTCCTTACCAATGCATCATTTTGATTAATTTCTGATTGCCTAGCATATGAGCTACAGTATGCATGTCCTTGACACAAGTACAGAAAAGAGTTTAGAAAAGTCATTTTATCAAAGTTCAGTTCAACGAGAAAACATGAAAAAGTGCAAAATATGTACAATTCTTGGCAGTTCTCACACGGGATTTTCTAACTACTGACCATAGAAGTTTACATTTCTGTAAGGAAAGTACAGTGGATTTCACTTCATGGTTAATATACAAGCTTTTGCTTCAAAGTGCTTACTTTATTTAAAAAAAGAGACGATTAAGAGGGTTGCAGGAATTTTTAAAACAATAAATCCATGTCATGTGTTCCAGTCTCCTTCTTCATCTTTCTTTAGTGCAATATGGTGCAGCAGACTCATTGAAAAGGTCTGATTTCAAAGATGTTCCTGCAGCCTCGCCTACAGCAGCACTCGAGGGGTCCCATTAGGGGTGGCCCCCTTTTTTTTCTGTAGCCGATTCTGAACCTTTCGAGATTTCACCACTTTCATTCTCACCTCAAAAACTTCATGGATGGCCTTCCGGAAACAATGAAAATTATAGTCAATAAGCCCTGAAGAAGAAAACAAAAATACCTATAAACGTCACATAGAAAGCCTTTTCATGTCCACAATGTCCAGGACAAACCAGTAGAGGGCGGCAGAGACGCAGCTGTGAGCGGCAGGGCCGGCCTCCCTGCGTCCGCCCCGGACTGCAGGAACTGAGGGCTGCCCGGGAAGGCAGCAGTTACCGAGGAAACGTCCGGAGCAGACACCCTGTTTTCAGACAGTGCTGTGACCCAAAGATCTGAATAACCACTGAACTGTACTTTTCTCCTTTTCATCTTTCAGAATTAAAGGTTATATTTAACAAAATTTTAATGAAAAAGTTTCCCCGAAAAGGCATTATTAAATTAACTCAGAATGGAGGCATATCCTGACCTGGGATACAGCTGACATATTAATCAGTCCTATGTGTTCTGTATCTATTCTATTTAAATCTTCCTCACAAACCCTAAAAAAAGCAAAATCCCTGATTCTAGAAAGGTGACAGTCAACTCCAAACTCAGGAATTCAACAATCAATGACACTCAGATTTCAATATTAAGTGGATTATAAGTGGTGAAATAATGAAGGAAATGTTCTGGGTTTTCAGAAATAAATTTTTCCTAAAGAGAGTCTAAAATCGTAAGGAATGTTTCCATTGTTAGTACTAACTTACAAGTGTTGAGAAATGCTATGTTTACACCAATTACAGTAAAGATATTGGTTCTTGCTGCATCTTTACCTAGCTTACTAACTATTTCCATCTCTCAGACTTTGCTTTCAGAGTCTCAACCAAAAAACTAGGGATTCCAGCCCAGGATGAAATGCTTTGAATTTGCTATACAGCTAACTAGTCAATGTACTGGGGCAGAAAAAGCTTTGAGCAGGGCCCTTCACTGTTTCTGTGGACATAGTGAAGCCCAGTACAGTAAAATGAGGAGTTGATTCCCCCAAGAAAAAGCCACTGAGGCAATCCGAGCAAAGGTCATAAGAAATAAGGAGCAAAGGAGTGACTTTAGTTAGTGGGAATTTGGGTAAAGACGTGTTCTCTGTTAATATGTGCAAGAAACTGTCTGAAAAATAAAACTGAGCTCAAAGAATTTAGCTCAACAAGAAGGGTACAATTAGATGCTCAACTAAGGAAACTTTAGGGATATTCCGTTGATAGTTCTTGACACACCTTGACACACCTTGACACACTCTTGCTGTATTTAGTTTTAAAAGTTAAAAAAAGTTCACAACCAAGGTTCATTTTGTTGCTGTTATCTTTCAGGGTACAGAGGTCTGAACCCAGGATCTTTTCACAAAGCTATATCCCCAGTGCTTTTAAAAATTTTATTTTAGGGGCTGGGGGTTTAGCTCAGTGGCATAAGCGCCTGCCTTGCAAGCAGGCAGTCGTGAGATCGATCCCTGGTACCGATAAAAAATGAAAAAGACAAAAAAAAAATTTTATTTTAGAGTCAGGGTCTCCCTAAGTCGCTAAATTGCCCACACTTACAGTGTCTTGCCTCAGCCCCACAAGTGCTGTGACGGCAGGTATGGTGCAATCATGCTCCACTCTACACCTGAATTTTTTGAAGGATACATAAGCATTCATAAAAAAAAGTGTTTGTTTAAACTTGGTGTCATGGTGCACTCCTGTAATTCCAACACTTGGGAGGCTGAGGCAGGAGGACTACCACAAGTTTGAGGCCAGCCTGGGCTACAAAGTGAGTTCAAGGCCAGCCTGAACCACATAGTGAAATCCTGCCTCAGAAAAGACACCCTCCCCCAAAAAAGCTTTTGTTTAGCTGGGTGTGGTGGCACATACCTGTAATCTCAGTGCCTGAGATGCTGACATGGGAGGATGGTGAGTTCTAACCCAACTGGACTACATAATGAAAATTTTAAAAAGATCCTGGCTATATTAACCCTTTCATTATAAGCTGTTGGAAACACAAGAACAGAACCATTAACAATGAATACCACCTTTGCCATCATTCAGAGTTGATACAACCCCCATATTCAGATTCGGTGTACACTACAAACACTTGGCATTTACACACACACACACACACACACACACACGCCCCAGTCTCATGAATTCTACTTTAATTCTTTGGAAGGCCCACATATATTTTAGCTGCTCCTTTCCCCCACAGTGCCTATCACGTGCATCTGATCTGATCCTCTGACTTCTGCTGGCATGGAGCATTGATTAACTATATTGATTAACTCTGGGAACTTTACAGCAGAAAACCAGGATGCATCTCAGTAACATCCTTAGTGATGACACATTTCCATGCTGTGAGCCCACAGCCTTCCTGCAGCATTCCTGTCAAAGTGCATAATCTCATCTCAACTGTGTGAAGTCAACTGACATTCTACAAAATGACTGATCTTCATGAGTGTTGGGGACACAAGATAAACATACACAGACTGGAAAAGATTAGGAGCGATAACTCAACCAATGTGGGATTCTAGGACAGAAAAAGAACGTTTGGAGAATCTGGTGACATTTGAATAAGGTCTATGGCTTCGTTAATAATATTATTCCCACTGTTAATTCCCTGGCATTAGTGACTATAGTATGTAAGGTGTTAATGTTAGAGTAAGCTGAAGGAGAAGTATATAAAAATTATGTACTATTTTTGCAACTTTTCTGAGTCTAAAACCAGTTCAAAATAAACAGAGTCACCAGGTTGACTCTAATGTTTCCTAAATTTTAGAACCGGCTGTCAGCCTATATGCTTTCGGAGCTAAAGTTATACTACTTTTGTTTTTCTCTTAGTCTCCAAAATTAATATGAAAATCAACCATTAATAAATTTGGGAAATATCTTTAACCAAGGAAGTAAGTATATGATGATTAAATACAAATATGCACACCCACACACATGTACTCATACATTTAGCTCTCCACAAAGAGAAATTCAGCTTTATGTAGCCCTGACTGCCACAAATTGGTGGTGTGAGCTTAGGAGAAAATCACTTATATTTTCCGGATCTGAGTAAAATCATTCTGTAAAACAAGATATAGTCCAGTTTATCTTCAAAGTTTTGTAAGTCTAATATATAATCTGTTCTTGCTTTCATTTCAGCAAGATGACAATAAGAGGCAAACAACACTTAAAAGTTCTGAGGAAAAAAGATACAAAAAGACAATGTGATCAGTAATAATAAACACGGGACAAATATCTAGCTTCCTGAAGAAGCAAGAATATACAAATTTAAATGACATGCCAGCTTTCAATTGTCAACTTTTTTAAAATATTAAAATCCAATACTGATAAGAATATACAAAAGTGGGGGCTGGGGATTTAGCTAAGCGGCATAAGCACCTGCCTTGCAAGCAGGCAGTCGTGAGTTTGATCCCTGGTACCGATAAAAAGGAAAAAGACAAAAAAAAAAAAAAAAAGAATATACAAAAGTGAACACATTCATATTCTCTTAGTAACATAAACCCATAAAATCTTTCTAAAAGATATTTTGGTAATATGCATTGCCCACCCTTTTGGTCTAAGTAATTCCACTTGAAATTTTCCCTAAAGAAACAACTAGGGATGCACATAAATATTTAGTGCAAAGAAGGTCATCACAGTATTATTTATAACATTAAAAGCTAGGAAAAGTTAAAATGTCTGCAAATAGGAGCCTCCAAAATGACCATTAAAACAACGTGGTTAAAAAAAACACTTAATGGAAAGATGTCCATAATAGTTTAAGTGGCAGTTACAAAGTAGTATTTATTATACTATCTCATAGTTTGTTTGTTTTTTAAGTGTGCACACACACAGGAAAAAGGCTTGGAAATACAGAAAATGTTAAGAGTAGTTATCAAAAATTCAATGTGGTGGCACATGACTATAATCCCAACACTGTGGGAGGCTGAGACATGAGGATTGCAAGTATGATCTCAGTCTGGCCAATTTAGCAATCTGCTGAGATTGTATCTCAAAAAGGGGTGAACAGAGTGTGGAGATGTCACTTAGTGCAGATGCCCTGAGTTCAATCTCTAGTACCACTAAAAGAAAGAAAGAAAGGAGAGAGAAAGAGGGATAGTTTTTCTGAGTGAAAAACCTTTTTTCTTTCTTTCTTTTTTTTACTTACTTGCTATTTCTAAATTTTCTAAGTGATTCTTAGAAAGAAAATATAATAGAAATTTCTATTACTCTGTGATTTTTTATTTTTATTTTTTGGTACTGGGGATCAAACTCACGACCTCACACTTGCCAGGCAGGCGCTTATGCCACTGAGCTAAACCCTTGGCCTTACCCTGTGATTAAAAGAAACAAAACCTTAATTCTGTTTCCGTGGCTAATGAAAAGACAAGTTTATAAGTAAGTGAAAAAAAATTGAATAGAAAACTACCTAGACAATATGGCCCAGTTTTGTTGCAAGAAAGGGGGGAAAAGGGAGACAAAAAAAAGTAAGTTGAAGAAACTGAGGAATTTAACATAAAGTTTAGGTCTAACATGAAATAAGTGGTTTTATTTTGTTCTTTACATGTTTCTAAATTTTTAAAGCAACGTTATTCTTGGCACTTTGTTGGAAATTTCGTGCTCACCAAATTGGTAAACTATACCTTATTTACTAACAAAAATCCCTGTACACATCTGTAAACTAGTATTTCTCAGTTTCGATAGTCAGCATAAAGATTGGTTTTGTTTTAAAATAAAATTGAATTTGGTCCTAAAAAGGTAATACGGTATTCATGCCTTCCCTTTTCTGATCTTTGTGTTCTGAATTTAAGAGTGCGTGACGGCTAATCAGAAGCTAACACCACCTAACCTTAATGGTGTATGAGTTCACTTGGTGAAAAGAAAGGGTCACTCAGTCACCCACGGCCTTCTAGCGGGGTGGATCAAGGCAGAGGCCTCCACCTTCAGTGCAGGCTGCCGAGTCCTTTCCCTGGTCAGAAATAGCCCGGCAAGGACTTCCCAGCATGCAGACGCTGGGCCGTGGGAGGGAGATCCGCTGCTAGCTCCACCTCATGCAATCCTAGCTGCACCAGCAGGGGGCTCAGGTGCGCTGGACCGGGGCCCTCCCAGGTCAGGCTGCCAGCCCAGGGCGGCTGGGACTAGGGGTGCAACAGCAGCAAAGGCAGTTTGCATTGGAAGGCGTCTTTTAAACCACAACAAAACATTACCTTTTCTTTCAAAGCTTTCCTCTCTCACAAAGCAAACGAGAGCCAGGAACTTTGTCACCTCTTTTAAGTAAAGAACTGTTGTATTATTCAGCTTTATAATGGCTGTAGATTCCTTGTCATAGGGGGTTCCTGCACCATCTTCTTTGAGACTAAATGGGGACAGAAAACAAAATGTATTTGACTGTTGGGAAAGAACTACAATTGTAACACGGGTAGAGATCAGCTTTAACACATGGAAAAGCCATGACGAGTCAATTACCTTTGCAGTGCTTTTCAACAAAAGAGCTCAGTGACACACAGCCACCAGCCAACAGTGTCATCGTGACAGCCACAGTCTTACTGACACAATGAGTGGCAGCTGGGTGCCTGGGGAACACAGGTGAGGGATGCAGCTGAACTCTTCTTCCCTCCACAGCCAAGAGCTTTTTGTTTTCTCATGGTTGAATAATCAGACTGTCAAAAGCATAGTCTGGGCCAGGTGTGGTGATGCATGCCTTTAATTCCGGCTGTTTAGGAGGCTGAGGCAGGAAGATCCCAAGTTTGAGGCAAGCCCCAGCAACCTAGTGAGACCTGTCTCAAAATTTTAAAAAATTTTTAAAAAACCAAGCATCTCCTGAGATCTGAGCCATGTTGGAATTTAGGACACTGGAAAACCAAGCAATCAGCTCGCCTCCCTGGTAAGTGGCTGTGGTGTGGCAGGCTGCAGACCCTTCAGGGGGAAAACCACCAGCATCTCCTGAGATCCACACCATGTTGGAACTTAGGATGCTGGAAAACCAAGCAACCAGCCTGCCTCCCTGTTAAGCGATAGTGAGCCTACCGATGCACAGGCTTAGAGTCAAACATCCCACTTCCCCTGCCCCCCTTTAGCAAGTGGGAACCAGAGATCTGAGCATCTGTTGGGAGGTTGACCATATGCAATATAGCAAATAAGGGGGATTTCCTTCTACCATCTTTTTGAAGGCAAATATTTTTACTACTGTTTTGCTTTAGTCTGATTAATGGTACTGTTCTATTCAATATTCTTTTTGATAAGTTCTATAGTGTTCTGTACTTCATTGTATTTTGCTATATGTGATTGAGAGAACAACTAATGTGATGACAACGAGATATACTGTGACACCTATTGCTGTTATCCCAGTAACCTGCTGTGAAGTTCTGTACCAATTTCACTACACGGTCTCAATTGGCAAAAAAAAAAAAAAAAATTTAAAAGATGTGAGGATGTAGCTCAGTGGTAGGGCTTGTTTAGCATGCACAAAGAGGGAGTAGGTTTGGTTCAGTACCACAAAAGGAGAGAGGAAAATAAAACCAAAAAAAAAAAGAGAGAGAGAGAGAGCATAGTCTGGTGAGAGACCAAGAGATAAAAACAATTAAAAGCTCACAGCCAAATGCTGGTCTGGACCATGAACCCAAGGAAAAAAAACTGCTATAGAAGATTTGGGAACTTTGGTAAAATTTGAATATAGTCTATATTTTAGGTAATTGAGTACTGTAACCATTCTATATTTGCCTAATTTAATAATTAAACCATGGTCCTGTCAGAGAATGTTCATTTTCTCAAGCAGCCAGGATCAGTGAATCAGGAGGTTTGCAACTTACTCTCAAATAGCACAGCAAAAACACACTAATAATAAGCATTAGAAGAGAGGAGATGCAACTAATACACCAAGCTGGTAAAAATTGGTAAATCCCAATGAAGGGTATACAGGACTTTCTCCTACTAGTCTTGTTTGTTCCTACAGATTTGATTTGTTTTTTCAAAATAGTTAAATATATAGTCTATTTTCTCAAGAAAAGATGTGGTCTTCACCAAGAGGGTTTGGAACCTGCCTCTCTTATGTAGTATGTGAGTTTAAATCTGGGTGCAGGGGTGCACACCTGTAATCCCAGCACTCTGGAAGCTGAGGGAGAAGGACCCCTAGTTTAAACCCGGCCTGGGCAATTTAGCAAGATCATGTTTAAAATAAAAAAGGGTTGGGGATGTAGCTCAGTGTGAAGGCCCTAATACCCCCAGCCAAAAAAGCGAGTTTACACAACCTGAGTAACTTCTTTATGCTGACAGCAGTTACTCCAAAGTTTCCTAATTAAATTTCCTAATTATTTCCTCGTTAAGAATACACGTATAGTATTGAATATGGAGACAAGAACATATAAAATGTACAATAAATATTAACGGCTATTATGATTATGGCCTTAATCAAAACTGGGCCTGCCGAACTGGGCAGCACACACCTGTAATCCTGGCTAGTTGGAAGCCTAGATAGGAGGACAGGAAATTGGAGGCCAGCCTGGGAAACTTAGCAAGTACCTGTCTCAAAATAAAAGATTTTAAAAGGAGGCTAGGGGATATAGCTCAGTAGGAAAGTACTTGCCTAGCATGTATGAGTCCCTGGTCCTGGGTTTATCAGTAACACCAAAAAGAAAAACAAAAACAAAACAAAAAAACCTTGGATATGCCAAAGACACCGGTATAATCAGAATTATGAGTCCTTTCTTCATAGCAAAGGACATGTACTTTTTTTTCTATACTTTTTTCTCTTATCTGAAACTACATATACTTCCAAATTTATAGTTACCTCCTTAATATATGAATAATTGGCCAGAAAAGTGACTTAATTGGGATTATGCTAAACCTTTTCAATTTTACATGAGGCAGAATTTATTAAGTATTTACTATGTGACACATACCATTCTTGGTTCTGACCATGTGTTTTATACTGTCAGCCAGAGAATGCTTGGAGGCTCAGGGGAAATAACTTAGAGCTGCTGATTGATGAACTCACACCTAGACTTAACTCATATCAAAGTGAATGCTTTAATCTCACAAACATATAAAGTGATAGGGTGACAAAGCTGATAAAAACCTGAATTATGAAGTATTCTGAAGGAAACATGATTTTCTTAGTTTTAAAAGTATTTTAAATGCCAAGTATGATATCATGTGCCTGTTATCCCAGGATTTGGGAGCCCAGGATCACTGCAAGTTCAAAGCCAGCCTGGACTACACACTGAGAGACTGTCAAAAAAAAAAAAAAAAAAAAAAAAAAAAAGAAGCAGAAGAAGAAAGAGAAAGAAAAGAAAGCATTTTAAACTGCATCTATCCAGCTAGCTACAAATAAATTATAAGGGCTGAAGATTTAGCTCAGTGGTAAAGCACTTGCCCGGGAGTGTGAGGTCCTGGGTTTGATACCCAGCACCAAAAGAAGAGGAAAACAAAAAGTAAATTGTACGTAGGAGGACCCTTTAAGCCCAGGAGTTCAAGGCCAGCCCCAGTGATAGGAATATCTAGTATTCCAAAAAAATAAACAAGACAAATATATATATATTTTACAAACAAATATATGTATATTTGTATTTAATTCAATATAACCTACCAAACCATTACAGAAAAATTCTCGTTAAGTGTTGGCTCTCAGAGATTAAAGATGGTTTAACAGAATTCTTAACTAATATTGCACTGTTTTTAGCTTTTTTTTTTTTTTTAAGTATTGGGGAGTGAACCCAGAGCCTTCTCACTGAGCTATATCACCATCTCTTTATTTATTTTTATCTTTATGTTTGTTTATTTATCTTGGAGACAAGATCTTCCTAAGTTGTTAAACTGCTCGGCTGTACTCAGGTTTGCAGTCTCCTACTCAGCCTCCTAGAGTGCTACACTACCGGGCACCATGCCCACCCTTAACTACTACTGAATTTCTCTTGCTTATAAGTAATAATACTCTGAAAACAATAAAATGAAACACTAACATTTTTTACCCAATGAAGAGTATTATATTTAAAAATTTCTACTTATAATACGATATGCTTAAATACATATCTAGCAAGCATTGCATTTATTAATAAATAGAAAATTATAGGAAAATTCTTAATACTAAAATCAGAGGTTACAAAATTGTAGAAAATGATCTCATTATTCACAAATTTGGAGAAATAAGTAAAATATATAAAAATGTAAACAGAAACTGACTTAGAGGTCAGGTTAGGAACTATTTTAATTTTATTGATCATATTTTTAGGGTTTTTTTCTTTTTTTAGTACCAGGGATCAAACTCATAACCTCGTGCTTGCCAGGCAGGCACTTATACCACTGAGCTATATCCCCAGCCCCTCTTCATTTTTTTTTTTTTGTTTGTTTGTTTTTTTAGTACTGGGAATCAACTCACGACCTTACACTTGCCGGTAGATGCTTATGTGACTGAGCTAAATCCCCAGCCCCTTCTTCATATTTTTATGTGTTTTCTACACAACATATATTTTACTATCACTACTCTCTCCAAAAATAAAATCAAAACAGAGAAAAACAAGAAAGATCATAAAAAATTATAAATTAATGAGGTTTTACAATTGCAATTGTTCTAATTAATTTTTTATCTATGAATCTACAAACAACAGAAACACACCAAGGGGGCACATATGTTAAAGCAGGGTGTGTGTGTGTAGAGCAAAACTCAGTTGCGAGATTCCCGAGGCATCTGGTCACCTGCTTCTGGGACTGTGACCTGAGGGTTCTGTGGCGGGGCAGGTCGAGCAGTGAACAGCAGGGAAACCTCCACTGCAGGGCCCAGGGCCCCCCAGCATCCCACTGCTCCCCCTGCTGATTCACAGGGCTGTTCCATTCAGCTCTAGCAAAACAAACAACAACAAGGACACCTGAAGAAACCCCAGGGCCTACACATCCTGTGTGATGCGGACTGGTTCTAACTGATCCAGTGGGTTCTCGGGAACACTGCACTTCACAGAAAACAAATCTGAGCCTAAGCCCAGGTTCCTTCTGCCAGCCTCCTCTTTCCCCAGGTTTGTTTTAGCTGGGAAAAGGAACTCTGATTAACATCAGTTACACGAACAACTTTCCATTTACGTCTAATTACCATATGGCACAATAATGATCATGCTATCATTAAATATGTGCCAAATTAATTGTGGTGTTCATTGTACTTCATTACTACAGCAATCTAGACTGTAATCAGGGTTCATTCAGCTTCTGTGACTATTTCAAGGTCATCCACATATGGTTTAACAATAACAACACTGCAGGGTGGTAATCTTGGGAAGTAAGATCTGTTTTGAAAGCCAGATGGCAGTGTCTAATAATCATAATAACAATAACAGTAATAAATTATGACCATTACATTTACGCATGGCCTATCAAGTCGGCAAATTATCAACCTGATGGTATTTCATTTTCACCAGAATCCTGAGAGCTAACTACCCTATCCCTATTTCATAACAAAAGAAACTGACCGTGTTGTAGGGCAGGGTAACCGTGTCTGGGCAAAGGATTTGCCAACCACGGGAGAGAGAAATGGTGAGAATGACAAGAGGCTATGGCTAGGGGCAGGTCCCAGGCAGTGAATAAAAATGGAAGGTGAACCAGGGCTTTATGCCTCACCCATGACCGCATGGAATGCAAGGTCCGATATAAACAGACAGCACCACCTCGAGGTCATAGGATAGATAAACACACAGTTCACACTCGCTTGGCATAACACTTGTTCAGCAAATTTATGACACGTAGGATTGTTTCTATCTCTACAACAATTTTCCCCACTCTTCATTTATTTGGTATTATTTTTAGGGTATAGGAAGTTGTGTTTTTTAAGAATGTGAGGCCATAATAATAAGCAGGTAATGTTTACTTAGTTTTATAATTCTCTGCTACCTGTAGATAATCAAAGGCATATTTTTTAAAAAATTAGTAGTTATTTTCTGTAACAAAGAGAGGTACAGAAATATTAATTTGAGTTGTTTGTTTAGAGTTTGAGTCTCCTCGAAGAGTATATACCCTTATAATAGGTTGACAGTTTTTTTCATCAGAGGATCAGGACTCAAGACCTAAATTCAAATTCCAGTTCTGTTTCTTGTTGACACTGTGAACAGTGGGGTCAGAGATTTAACCACTCTGAACCTTAGTCTCCTTATCTTTAAAATGACTATAGCAATTCATGCCTCATGGAATAGTTGAGAATTAAATTATAAGATGCATGCATTAAGATAATTAGCAGAGACACACATCTGTTAGATAATCATCATTATTATAGGCTAAATGATATGTTTATAGATTTCAGTTATCTAAAACAGAGGTGTGTTAGTCTGGTGATATGGCTCAATGATTCAGCATCTGCCTAGCAGGCACAAAGCCTTGGGTTTGATACCCAGTGCCACAAGAAAATAGAAAGTATTAAAGTTAAATAAGAAAACATACAACGCCTTGAAGGTTACAAAAGAGAAGGCTGGCTTGATTTAGACTTTAAGAATGCTTTACTTACCCATAAATACAAGAGATGTCAATAACCACATCTATCATATCACAGCAGAGTTCATAGGTTTGCATATCCACTGGAGTGCTATCAGTAGCAATATAAATTTTACTGACCACATCGAATAGAAATGCCTTTTCAATTCCAGAATTCTGAAAAATGAAGGTGCTACCTTAAAGCAAAGCCAATTTCAGACTATGTTGTGTTTACATAAAATCATATACTACAGTACCCTAAGGTAAAATGTGAATGAGCAAAATTAAGTTATTAGAACCTCCAGTTGCACCATTTTTATTGTAATTTCAACTTCATTCTCATAAACCTCTTTATAATAGAAAAATGGAAACCAGAATTATCATACATTATTTATTTTAAGTAAATATTTCCGAGCTCCCAGTCTGGTGGTTTGTAGAACTGATTCGATGTGTCATTCATACAGTGTTAAACATATAAAAAATTATTCATGTACATGCTTCATCACTAGAATCAAATTGTACGTTCTCTACTCTGGTAGGGTTCTATTAATATTAATGATTCTCTACAACTCAAATAAAAACTTCATTTATACTAGTGAAAGACACACTTTGGAGGTTAACTTTTAAAGGCTCTAAAACATTATGTAGGAGTAATCATCAAAAGTAATCCTTGTGTGACCTTGAAATGCTGGAAGAGAAAGCAGAAATAAGATTTTTTTTTTACTCTTACAATGTTATTCTCAAATTCTGTAAGTGATTCTAACAGGAACAAATTATTTACTTACTGAGATAAAGATGTTCAGCAAATTCTCTAGAGTTGGGAGTTGGGGAATCAGTTTCTGAACCACTTTGCTAAAAGCTTCAAATATTGAATGATCATATATGCTTGTCAAGTAAAAGCTGAAAGAGAAAACAGCACCTCATTATGTTTTTCCTTTGACTGAGCAATAGTTTGCTTTGGCGATGTCATAACCCCAGGATTCTCCCTTCTATAGCTACAATTCTAACACATAGTAGCCCCCTGCAGAATTCACAAGCTTGGTAAAAAACAGAATAGATCTTAAATCATCCTTCCTCATCCCCTAAGACAGCAGAACTATATCTATTCTTGGCTGCGTGGCAAGCTTAAAAACATGGCCATTTCTGCTCACATCGGTTTTAGGTTCTGAGAGAGAATCCACACCTGACCATCTTCATATAAACCATTAGCTGTCTTGTTAAATTATCAATATAGATGCATCTAATTGTTTTCATTTGCTAATTTGCAAAATGAATACATATACTACCCCACAAAGAATTATTTTTCCTTTGCATGTATCTCTTGCTGAACTGTTTTCAGACTATTCCTTTATTTCCAATGATAGATCCTATCATATTTATCGAGAACTATAAAGTTTAACATTGATTAACTCCTTGGATTAGATTTTTTGGTTTTGTGATATTTTTCATCTGAGGGAAGAGTCTTAGCTTTGACCACTAATTAAAAACAACCTTTCACCCATGATGAGAATTAGTGTGTAAAACCGGTTTATCCTGTTGGGTGTGGTGATACACGTCTGTAATCCCACCAGTCACGAGACTGAGGCAGGAGGATTGCGGTGAGCTCAAGGCCAGTCTGAGCTAAATAGGGAGTTCAAAACCAGACTAAACTATAAGACCTTATCTCAGAAAAGCCACCACTGGTTCCCCCTAAATCCTATCCTACTGTCTACAGCACAAGCAGATAAACAAGGTAAATTAGTACCCATGCCAAGCTTACCAAGGTGACCTAGGGCCCACAGCTGCTTTTTTCCCATCTTTTACTGGGATCCTTAGGAGACTTCTGTTCTTACCTGAGGTGAATTTTTTCTAATCCAGCATCCGCAAGGTCATCATTTGCCCTCTGGTGAATGTCTCTTTGGGTTTCAATCTTGTGGTCATCTGACAGACCATCCACTTTATGAATAAATACCTCAAAGTTGATGTCAGTGTTCACCTTATAGGCCCTGGTCACTGTGAGATGGAGCCTGGCCAGGGCTTCCATGTAGTCATCCTGGGAACAAAGGCAAGGCCTGTGAGAGGAGACGGCTTTGCTTCCAGAGCCTTCCACATGCACTCTGCTGAAAATCACAAGGCTACCACCCCCACCACCAAGTGAAGTACTCCACAAAACTTCCCCCTAAAATCTGGCTTTATAAAAGTCAAGTGTGAAAGCCAGTTGTTTTTTTTTTAACATAGAGAAGGAAAAGCTAACGAAATGCAGTCATAATTTAAGCCAATGGCAGCTGTACACAGTAGAGTTGCCGTTTCAGGAAGAGAAACTGACCTCCTACTACCTAGGACAGGTCCTCCCGCGTTCTGAGTCTCTTACTGTCTGTGTGACTGATTAAGATGGAGACATGAGAGGGGTCACTAGGAAGATGGGGAAGCAACCAAAGGAACAGTTTTAAGAACCTCAGTTTAGAGAAGTCAGCAAACCATGGTCCACAGGGCCCGGCCTGGTTTTTGTAAGGAAGTTATATTGGAACGCAGCCACACTCAGTGGCTTGCACACTGTCTAAGGGTGCTTTCCTGCCACAATGGCACAGCTGAGTAGTTTTCCTCTGTGGCTGCTCCTCAGAGACAGCACAGTCTGCAAAGCTGCAGATATTTTGCCATCTAGCCCATTACAGAAAGTTTGTTGACCCATAGTGTAGGAGAGGAATTACTTGAAACAATGCAAGAGGAAGCTTTCCTACACACATACAATATTATAAACACCTGTGAATCCACTAACCCAAAGTGAAGTGTATTTCTCCCAAACCAGCCTATCCCTCTATTCTCATCCTCCAGAGGCAAACTGCCCAACTTTTGTGCTTGTTCACCCTCATTTATCTGCACCACACATCCTCAAACAACACACTATTGTTTTACACTGTTTACAGTTTCACATAAATATCGAGTTTGTATGTATGCCTTTTTGGTTCAACATTATATCAGGGAGATTTATCTACGTTGAGCTGTGTAACTCTAATAATTCCTTTTAAGGATTCTGGAATTTCATTTTATGGATGGTCTACAATGTGTCACATATTTGCTTGTTAAAGGATATTCCAATGTTTCCAAGCATTTATTATAAAGTGGTAATGTGTATCTCAGGTACATACGGTTTACCCCAGGGCCTACTTGTCAGTCCTAACTCCGAGTACCTTAAATGTAACCTGACAGTGTTGGATAGTGCCTAATGCTCTGGACCCTCACCAACACCTGGTGTTGCCAGATCTCTTGAGTTGTTCGCTAGTTTAAAGAGGGTGGGTAGGCCTTGTTTTTATAGCAAAAGTAGGAAAGGTATCTGTTGTAAGAAATTTAAAGGACTTAACTACCACCACTCTTGGATCTCCCACCAGTTGATTATGACTCCAACTATGAAAATAAAGGAAGTTAATATAACAGGATTTTTTTGGCATCCTATTCTACAAACTAAATTAATAAACATGTAGACCTAAGCCACACACAGTGGCACAGGCCTTTAATCCAAGCATTCTGCAAGACTGAGACTGGAAGGTTGCAAATTTGAGTCCAGTCTAGGAAACTGAGCAAGACTCTGTCTCAAAATAAAAAAGCTCTTGATATGCAGCTTAGTGTGAAGGCTTTGGTTTTAATCCCCAGGGCATGGACATGTATGTGTGCACATACACACTCACATACACACACAGAGCACCTAAAAATGACATGAGAAAGAACAAAATAGCACAAAGGGAATGTAGCTTAGTAGGAGCACAATTGCCTAGCAAACAATATCCAGCACTGCAAAAAGACGAAGAAAATGCTTGATTCATTAGAACACAGGGATTCTTTCCACAGTGATTGTGACCTCCTTCAGTGACAAACAGAAATGGAAGAAAAATACACTCCCCTAGTCTCTACTCTGAAATTAGATCTAGGAATCATAAGCAGGTCACAACCACCATGAACACAGAGCAGGTGGACTCTGGGATCCAAACACAAGTATGTAGTGGTTTCAGGAAATGGGGTTCATTCTGTGTTCTCTGCAGCGTGGCAGGGGCATCATACATGTAGCTCCCAGGCAACCACTTGCGCTTTCATTTTTGTTATTTCTCAGCACTGTGTGAGGACACATTTTCTCCTTGGGGACATATTTATCTGGCAGTCTTCTAACTGTGCAGAATTCACGGGCAAAATATATAAACATGAGACATCAGAACAAAAAGCACTGCTTAAAATTAAAGGAAAGGACACTCAGGTGCCGCTGAGGCACTTTCCTGAACCATGCTTTTCCTTTTAGTGCTGGTAATCACATCATGTAAAGATTTCTACAGACACAATTTTCAGTGCTTCCAACAAGGAAAGTAGTGGGTATCTCTGAAACTGCTTTTCACATTATTATTTACTTTTAGTAAATGCTTAACAATGTTTTTCCTATTGTTTTTGCTTTGCAGTGGTTGGAATTGAACCTATGGCCTCTGCATTTTAGGCAAGTGTCCCGTACTGTTACATTCCCAGACCTCCTACTCATTTCTCAAATGTAACGAAAAGACCAATTTCTCAATTCTCATACTTTCCTCTTACAGCTTAAAAAAAAAAAAAGAAAAGCAGTTTTGTTTTAGTTTTAAAACAGGATACATATTTTACCAACCCAGATGGAAGGTCTCCTTTATCATGTTCAGGTCAAATTAAAACCAAATTACAGTTGCAGTCTAAAAATAGGCAAGTATACCTATTTTAACCAAATGACAGCCATACTACAAACACCTAAAGTAGATTTACATTGGAAATTGGAATTTCATTTAAAAATTGCTATGCAAGTACAATAGTGTTTTAGCATTTACTAAGACATTATCTTAAAATGACGAATCATCTGGTTGGAATCTGCTTACTCACAGGCAGAACTACGACACTTGCTACCTAAATAACTTACAGTGCCAAGTGATTCACAGAGTAAATGGAGCTTAGAGGAGGTGACATCTGCAGAGCAGCCCCTCCCTGGAGTGTGTGCACTCCCTTTCCACTCCCTGAAGGCTCCCCAGATTTATGGTGCTGGCATATGGAGACAGGAGGGCAGGGATACTGCCAACACCACAGATGGGCCAAAAACAGGTTGGTACAAGTGGGATAACCAGGGAAGCAGCTGCTGGCAGCAGGCCCTGGACAGATGCAGGATCTACAGTATACCCACCCAACACATGCATTGCTGGGTGGTCCAAAGAAGTAAGAAATGCTGTTCATGGATCAGGCACTGGATTTAATGTGTCCGCCTCTGTACTTTCACTACAAATGGCAAGAAAGAACCCATTCTAACCTACACCAAGCTCCCACAGCTACACAGCGCAGCCTCTTGAAACTGAAAGGCTTCATTGAAAGTTTCATTAGTATGTTACATAAATAGGTACCTAGTTCCAAATTCTGTGAGGCATAAGCGGGCAGTCTTCTCAGACTATTACCTACCCAAGTATGGGCTCAGGACCATGATTGCTAACAGTCTCCATAACCCTCCTCCCTAACACCCTCCAAGGGACTGATGTTCAGAAAGGGGTCATGCGTGCCAGCAGCTGGCTGACCTAATTGCAGGTGTATAGTTTCAGGGAACCATCAAGACTTAAATGTCAGAGCTGGTTTAGTACACACCTGGAAGACGTCTTTTATTCCCCCACAACTGCAAAGGAGACTCTGGAGGAGCCTACAGTCTAGGATGAGTCATGACCACTTTCTAGGAATGTTTATAGAGTACCAGTGGCCCAGTCCTGCTACAAACACCCTCCCTAAAACTGATCTGCCTGAGATGCGCCTGTGATCCTGCTGCCGTTTCCACCTCCCCAACTACAAGAGAAAGGCCCCAGGTTATAAAAACCCAGACAACAAACAGCCAGGGCAAAGCTAAGGTGAATCTGATAAAGAGAATGACTAATGGCTGGGGAACAAGACTCTCCACTCAGCCAAGGGATTCCCATCTCTCTGTTTCCAACAGTGCTGAAGGAGGACTTAAACAGGACTCGAACAGTCAATAGAAAATTACTAAAAGAATTTTTGTATAGAAACCTGAGTAATGTAGGGGATAGAACTGGAAATATTTTAAATAATTAGAGAAACACTGTAACAAATGCTACTAGCTGGGGCTATAGCTCAGAGGCATAGCACCTGCCTTGCAAGTGCAAGATCATGAGTTGGATTCCGATCACAAAATAAATAAGTAAGCAAGCTGCTAATTTATGTGAATACAGTTTCTCAGTGCTTATGTCTATACAACCAAAAATACAGAAAGAACTGCTCCAAATCCTGTCTTATTTAAGCACAGATACATAAATTAAGCAGAAAAACGTTAATTATCCATCGTTTTTTTCCTTTGTAGTACTGGAGACTGAACCCAGGGCCTTGCACATGCTATACACTAAAAGCTACATCCTTCTCCCTTTCATCAACACAAGGCCTCCCTAAGTTGCCCAGGCTGGCCTTGAATGCACAATCCTTCCTGCTCAGTCTCCAAAGTAGCTGGAATAGGTATTTGCCACCACACCCTGCTATCTATCTTTTTGGAAGATATTTTAGTGCATTGATCCTTTTGCTATTAATTTCCAATTTTACTGCACAATGGTCAGATAATAAGCATGAGATAATTTCAATTCCTTTGCATTTACTTAAGCATGTTCTGTGGTTTGTTTTTTATTTTTTTGCGTTTTTTTTTGGTACTGGGGATAGAACTCACGACTGTGCACCTACCAGGTAGGCACTTTGGCCGCTGAGCTAAATCCCCAGCCCCTATGTGGTCTATTTTAGAGAACACCCCATGTGTAGCTAAGAATGTGTATGTTGATGTTGTGGGGTGGAACACCTGGTAAATGTCTATTAAGTCTATAAAGAAGGATAAACTTGAGGCTCTTAGAGATAAATGGATGCAACTTGAGGCCATACTCATAAGTAAAATAAATCATACTCACAAATGCAAACATTGGATTGTCTCCCTAGTGTAAAAAACTAAAACAGAAAGTAAGATCCAAAATGTACAATTGGACTAGGGATAAAACTAAGCAGCACAGTGCCTGCCCAGCAAGCATGAGGTTGAAAGTTTGATCCCTGGTACAAAAAAAAAAGTACAACAGAATCTGTGAAAGTGAAAGGGGAAAAAACTGCTCAACAGGAAAGAACAACTGAGATGGGGGAAAAGAGAAAAGAAAGATGGGAAAAAATATACACATATATAAAATAAAAGACAATTATACTACTAATTTCTATTAGTTCAATGAAAAGAATGGTTTGTGCTCGCATTGTTTGATCAATTTTTCATGTCTATATCTTGTAATCTGAGCAACTATTTTGAAGATAACAATATGTAATATATTAACCATTGTTAATCCCCTATTAATTTGAAATTCTGTTTCAGATTTTATTCCTTTTAAAATAAGAGATATCTCCAATTTTGCTTTTTAAAAGTCACCTATAAAATTATCTTATTTTATCAGTTTTCAGTTGTACATTAGTAATAATTATTATTTGGTGCAAAGGAAAAATTTCTATCTAGTCCTTTATCTCAATAAGAAATAGTAACATTTTTAAATGTGAAGTTGTTTTTTGTGGGTTTTTTTTTTTTTTTTTTTTTTTTGTAGAGAACCTGTATATAAGAGTGTCTGAGAAATTCATCTTTCTAAGCTACAGAGTTTTTTTGTTTTGTATGGTTTTTTGAGGCAGGGTCTCCCTATTATAGTTCAGGCTACTTTTAAACTCAGCGATCCTTCTGCCTCAGCCTTGCAAGTGCTGGAATTACAGGTGCACACCACTATACCTAGCCTGGTACAGCTTTTAACATGATTAGGAAGTACATTTTGGAGATGTCTGTCAAGGATACCTGTGGGGGATGCCACATATTTGCTGTCCTCAGCCTGGACAGTGCCTACCACCTGTGAGGTTTCCCAGGTCTCTAATCTGAGGAGGTGGACAGAGTTCCGTGACAGTCAGCTGGCTCTTGGTGAGGGATGGATGAAGGAAGCCTTTTCTCCCTTACTATGCCTGAGAAGCTTAAGAAACCTCTGTTTGGTAAAAGACTTGTGCTAGATTTAAAATCCCAACAGAAACCATAATAAACAAGTAGGGTGAGGTGCTGCCTCTATTGGGGATATGTGGCTGTCAAACCCTCGAGATTTGGGAGCTGTACCTGGGAGTCGATGACAAATATTAGTGCTCCAGTTCCTCTGAAGATCATCTCATAGTCAAACGTGGGATCAAAAAAGTCAATCTGTCCTGGGAAGTCCCAAATCTGAAAATTGACAAAGGAGCTGTTGGAAACGTCCTCCCGGCATATCTTGTTAGTACTCTCCAAGAACAGTGTTTCGTTGGGAGACATTTTGTGAAAGACAACTTTCTGAATAGAAGACTTGCCGCTTCTTCTCAGGCCCATGAGCAGGATTCTTGGCTTCACCTCAGAGCTGAAGGGATCACTGAAGTCCAGAACTGGAGAAACCACAAAACAAGAATGAGGGTGAGTCCTTTTCACAGCGGTTAATTAGAGGAGTTTCACTTCCACCTCGAATGTGATTTATGACTCACAGATGATGCTCCTCTTCCAAATACAGGGAATGGTGATTCTACCACCCACTCACGGAGGGGACAGCTCTAGGAAGTGCGAAACACCGAAAAACACTGAGAAAATGCTGTTTCAATGCCTATGTCATCCTCACAGGGGTAGAGGCATCCCAAGAGGATGTGTATCCCGGAGGACACGCACAGCCCAAGCAGGGACTCTGGAATATGAAGAGCAGAAATTTCCTGGAGCAGACTCCACGGAAAAATGCAGAATGTCCAGCCTTCTGGAGCACTGTCCTCTACATCATCCTCAGAGTCTCCACGTGCTACAGAAATACTCGTGCATCTGAATTACAGCTCTCTCAGTTCGCCTCTCCTGGTCAGTGCCTTCACAGATCATAAATGCCTACAAAATGGGACTGGTCTAGATGCATCAGATTTAGACCACATCAGAAAGTAGATGCAAATTTTGTGAGGGACAAACCTCTTCCAGGCCAACCCTGGCTTTAGTCCTGCACCAACCAGAAAGACAGCTACTAACCATATACAGTTATTTAAGTTATCTTAAACAAGTCAAAACCGGAAATTCAGAGGTAGGCATAGTGGTACATGCCTGTAATCCATCTGCTCAGGAGGATTTCACAGTCAAGACTAACCTATGCAATTTAGAAACCTAGTGACAAAAATTTGAAAGGGGCTGAGAATTTACCTCGTTGTAGAGCATGCTTGCCCAGCATGCATAAGACCCTGGGTTCAATCACAATAAACAAATAAACAAATAATGGAAATTCACATCTTTCTTATGTGAAGTTCCTAGAGTAATCAAATTCATAAATACAGAAAATAGAATGGCGGTTTTCAGGCCCTAGAAGGAGAGAAGATGAGGAGTTATTATTTAATGGATCAAGAGTTTCCATTAGGGGAGTACGAAAAACTTCTGGAGGAGGATGAGGGTGATGAATGTATACCAGTGTGAATATATTTAATGCCACCAATTTAATTTGTGCACTCAAAAATGGTTCAAATGAAAGCTGGGCATGGTAGTACAAGTCCGTAATCCCAGAACTCAGGAGGTGAAGGCAGAATGATTGTGGTGAGTTCAAGGTCTTCCTGGACTAGGTAACAAGACCTTATCTCAAAAAAAAAAAAAAAAAAAAAAAAGAGAGAGAGAGAGAAAAAAAAGGTTACAATGAGAAATTTTCTACTGTGTATATTTTACCACAATAAAAATGATTTAGTTCCTTGGTTTCATAACTCCTGGGAGTGCTCAATCACCACACTGGCAAGTAGCTAACATAACTGCACAACACAGATAACAAAACATAGTTATCACCACAGGAAGGTCAAAAGGTCGGTCTCTTCCCCTGTAACAAAACCTCAACTCTAAAATTCTCTGCCAAAAATGCTAGAAGGACAAGAGTAGAAACTGATGCAAAAGTTCAGAACCCTACAGGGCTCACTCTTTTCTTCATTTGGAACATGTAGTGTTAGTTCCACAAGCCTCTTTTGTCCTGGACAACCACTTAATTTCTAAGCAGTCTTCCTGCTTGACCAAAAAAGCTAGGACATCTCATAGATGCAAAGGGAGAGCAGCCTAGTGGTGTTAGGGAGGGTCTTGAATTGAAACGGAGGGCATGGAAGGAAAGTATCAGACTAATAACGTTACAGTCTTCCCTTTCAAACTAAATTCCTAAGAATAATGGAAAATGTATGCATAATAAACAGATAAATAAAATATGGATAGCTGAGCTTGCAACAAAAAGAACTCAGAACTGAAAATTGAAAAATCCCTTAAACACAAAGATCAGACTGAAGTCAGAACATGCAGTCCTTGGCTCTGAATGGTAGGGTTCTGCTGCAGAAGGTGGGACCCACAACAGGAAAGGACACGAAGAGGATCATTATTTGAAGAACACAGCGAGAAAAGCTAAGCAGGTAAACTGTCCACTCTTGCCCACTCATCTAACCTGCCCCCGCCAATATACATGCACATACACATACGCATAAGGTTATCTTCCAGGTGAGGGCAGTGAATTTGGGAGTTTAGGGATGAGAAGGAAGGCAATGCCTCAGCGGCTAGTGATGCCCAGGACCAGTGGGCCCCACACTACGCATCCACGTACTTCAACTATTCTCTCACTACAGTCCACGGAAAACAGCGCCATCCCCGGGGGAAGCACACCATCTTCCCTTCAGTCACTTCCTCAGGTTCTAAACACCTGGAAATACCACCATTAGGAAAGAAAATACACACTCAAAAGCAGAAGAATGTACAGCTGTACAAACAGTGTTTATAATGGAATCAGAGCAATCTCTCAAGTATAATTAAAATATTACAAGATAAGAAACATGACATTTGTGAAAGAAGAACACTTTTAGGGCAAGAGCAGATATGAAAACAGTCCACAGAGATTTTGGAAATAAGCATGTAATTGTGGAAACTGTGCTTAGTGCACAAACTTGCAATCCTAGCACTCTGGGAGGTTGAAACAGAAGAATCACAAGTTCAAACACTGCCTGGGCAACTTAGACACTCCAATTAAGAAATTTTAAAGGGTTGTGTTCAATCCCTAGTACCACAAAAAAATAAAATCAACCCTCTTTAAAAACTGTGATGTCAGGGCCGGAGATTTAGCTCAGCAGCATAAGCACCTGCCTTGCAAGTGCACAGTCATGAGTTCGATCCCCTGGCACACACACACACACACACACAAAAAATAATGATGTCAACTCTACATTTTTTTCTCTAAAAGATTATCTTCGTAAATCTTGGCTGGACAAAAAGATATATGTAACATAGTTCCCACCTTGGAGAAACTTTGTAGTCTAAACAATTATGATGTTCAGAGAAAGACAAATAAACAGATCAGTGGAACAGAACAGGAAACCCAGAAAATAAACCCATGCATACATGGACAAATGAGTTTTGACAAAGATAGAAAGCTAATGACAAGGAAAGAGATAGTCATTTTCAGCAAATGGTGCTGGAATAATATAACATCCATATGCAAAAGGGAAAAAAGAATTTCAACCCACACTTTACACCATATACAAAAATTAATTCAAAATAGGTCACAGGCCCTGGGTGGTGCATACCTATAATCCTAGCCACTAGAGAGGCTGAGACAGGAAGATCACAAGTTCAAGCCTACTCTGTGCATCTTTTCCTGCGATCCATCCATAGTCCTACAAAATAGAAAGATAGATGGAGAGAGGGTGAGACAAGGGTGAGAAAAGGAGAGGGGCAGGGGGTAAAGGAAAAAGACAGGCTAAAGGGGCTGGGGATTTAGCTCAGCGGCATAAGCACCTGCCTTGCAAGCAGGCAGTCGTGAGTTCGATCCCCAGTACCGATAAAAAGGAAAAAGACAAAAAAAAAAAAAAAAAAAAAAAAAGACAGGCTAAAGAGAAACTGCATGGGTTGATGAGTATCATTCTTCCTAATTTACACTGCCGGGTGTGAGTACAGTTTTTATTATCTCCAGCAGGGTCTCTAAGTCTCTGCAGCAAGATCATCCAGGGAGGTACAATGGAAGGGGTGGAGTGAGGTAGCCAAGGAGACCACTGTGAAGAGGGGGTGGTTGTGAGCAAGTTTATGAACATAGAGCAAATGAGAAATACATACACAGCTGTAACAACATGGATATCACAACAGGAGTGGCAGAGGCAGGGGCTCTCCCCAAGACAGGAAACACTTCAGTCTCTTGGCTTCTTGGAGCAGGCTGGATTTATTTTCTTTCCCCTGCCTGCCAAATTCAAGCCCAGACCACGGGACCGTAAACATTTGGGAAATGGTGGTCCAGATCAGCAGATCAGCATCAACTCTGCAGAGACCATTTAGACCTCTGTGGGTGCATTGTATCACATGTGACTGGTGTATGGAAATACACTGGGGGTTCAGGAACTGCTCTGGACACTTCTACAAATCACCTAGCTGGTGAGGAGTTCAGGTCTATTTTACACCTAAGGAATCACGGGTAGGAAAACCATCAAGGTCATACAGCTGGTATGTGGCAGTGGACTCACCCAGAGTCTTAGCAACCAATCAGCTCTCCTTGTCACATTGAATGCTAATCTGCATATATCATAAATTTTCAACATTTTCTTTTTTTTTTTTTTTTTTATAAATTAACATTTTCACCAGAACTTTCCTGGAGGCTTTCTACAAAATGGCCTCGTGTTAGCTGTAGAATCTTCTAATCAAATATTTTATACCCATGATTTTTATCATACTCATGATTCCCAAACCTTAAGTCAGAACACATCTGTTACCATAAATATCAACTAGCGGGCATTAAACAGCAACAGCACTAAACCACCAAGAGATATTTTTTAAAGACGCTAGAAAATACTAGTAAGTGCAAAGACTGTATTGCTTGGTAAAATTCTTGAGTTTATTTACACATATGTGGATACTGGTTTATAACCTAAATAGGTTTTTGATTGTAAGCCATAGTCCAAAAAAAATTGTAAGCCACTGCTGTAGATCTGGAAAAGTTCCTTTTACATCAGAGAGGAACTTCTGACAAAGACCAACTCTGTAATCCTCTCCTCCCTTCCTGTAAAGAATCTCGATTTAGTAAGCCCCAGAGAGCCTGAGTAGATTGGTCTGTAGAACAGCAAGACTTCTAACCTGAGTCTAAGGTTCAAGGTCCCATCCAGGGGCCCAAAGAATGCAGGTAGCTCAGTGTTCCCCAAAGGGTCCCACTCTGCAGTGGGAGTGGCAGGGGCAGGCAGCGCTCTCGCTCTCCAGGAAGGCAAATCCTCAACCTGCTGACGTCCTGAGCAGGCTAAGCTCTCCCCAACACCTTTTGAAGCTCACCCAATGGGTTGAGCTCAGGAAGAGCAACCTGAGAAAGGGGAAAACAGTGAAAGACAATAAAGGACGGCTGCTGCTCTGGAAGGGAAATCACAGGGCAAATCTTTAAAAA